AACTACCCCATGAGGCATGTACTATTTATGCCCATTTTACAGGGACAGTGAGTGGCTTGCCCAAGGCCACACAGCTGGCAATGTGTTCTCTTAGCCACCCTGCCACCCTGCCTCCCTGATTCAGCTTGGATTCCCAGAACACAGCCCGGCACAGAGTCCCTGATGGGTAAAAGTGTGTTGGGCCAAACATTTGAAATGTAGACAGACTGGAAAATCCAGATTCTTGTAGCCATCACAATCACAGCAGAAATCCCATCCTTGGAATCATTCCTTTGCATTACAGAGTCACTCCAAACTGCAAATCCTGGGAGGCAGACCCTATGTCAGCCTTTCATTCATCCAGGGAGCCTCATGACAGGAGACTGGGTCCTAGCCCTGATTCTGTCCCCCTTTGCTGTGCTTCCTTGGGGAAGTCACCTCCCCTCTGTGGGCCTCAGGCAAAGGGGCAGGGTTAGAATCAGAGGATCTCTGGAACTGTTCAAGAGGCCCTTGGCATTGTGTGGAGGTTCTTCAGAGGCTGCCAGGATGGGGAGGCTGGGAGCGAGTATGTAGCAGTGGGTAGGGCCAGTCCCCCAGGCTCCCTCTCCCATTTTACCAGAGCAGCTCTGCCTCTCCTCCTTCTATGCTGTGTGGTCTTTGTTCATTGTGGGCGATTTGGGGTGAAGAAAGTCTCTCTGATAAAAACCAGGCTGGCAAACCTCGCTGTCTCTAAGGCCCGTTGTTATTATCACCTCAACCTTTGCCCAGCCCGGCTGTGTGCGGAGTGGACCCCGGAAGACAGGGGCAGGAGGCCCAGGACCCGTCCTTGAGAAGTTCTGATGTGTGTGACAGGTATGTAAATAAACGTGTCCCACAATGTGATTCGTGGTTGTAACTGAGGCACACGCAGCTTCTGGGAGCTCAGTGGGGCCAGGGCTCGGCTTGCCCCCCAAAAGCTACCATTTGCTGGGTACCGCTGGCTTGTCTCTGAATCCTCCCACAACCCTGTGTGAAGGGAGGTCTAATGAAGACCTGAGACCAAGGTCTAAGCCACTTGGGCGGTGACACAGCAGCGCTGGCTGCAGCTCCCAGCCTCTCCGCCGTGACTCAACCCCACTAGTCAGAGAAAGCCTTGTGTGTGTGTGTGCGTGTGCGTGTGCGTGTGCGTATGTGTACAGGGTTGCCGGGGCACCCAGTGCACAGAGGGGCGGAGCCGGAGCTGGCAGCGACCCCGCCCCTCCTGGCATCAGACCAGGACCCCACCCCGGCACGCCCCTGCAGGCGCCGTATGCGCAGCGCTGCTTCCATCTCGTGGCCGCCATGGGACACTGACCCTGAACCAGGGCCAGGGCCCTCGCCGCCTGCGGGAGTGTGAGCCAGGAGGACCTCCAGCCACGCCCAGAAGGCAGAGGAGAGTGCAGCCCTGGACGCTGCCTCGCTCCCATAGCCAGGACAACCCCCGCTTCAGGGGCAGCAGTTCGCACCTGGGAGGAGAGGGGCACTGTAACAGGCACTATGTCCTGGTTCTCCCCCAGATGGTGAGTCTGGGGAGTGGGTGCAGAGGCTGTCCTGGAGGCAGAGACCACTGACAGCCGTGAAGGCAATACCGAAGCTTAGCTGGAGTCCCTGAGATTTCCCAGGTGTCGCAGGGGCGCCAGTCTGGAATTGGGGGCGGGGAGGTGGTTTGCAATGGATGGGGCCAACAATAGTAAAAACACGCATGGAACATTTTCTGTGGGACAGGTGCTGAGCTACTTGTCTTACCTCACAAGGACTCTGTCAGGAAGAGAATGTTATTATCCCCATGTTACAAATGAGGAAACTGAGGCACAGAGAAGTAATTTGCCTAAGGCCACACAGCCCAGAAGTAGCCGATCCAGGATTTGCTGTTCTATGACAATTGGAGAGGTTGTCCCCGAGTCAGGGAGTTGGAGGCTGACAATGGAGGTGGGGGTGTGTGGGGTCAGTGTCCAGGCCCAGGGTGGGGTTCTGGCGGTCCAGTGAAGCCAGGAGGGAGTGGAAGCTCTGCCAGGAGCCTTCCTCGCAGGCCCGGCCTGGGGCTGGCTCCCTGGGCCCACTACTCTGCCCCCTCTGGCCGGGTGTCCCTTTCCGAAGCAGCCTGTCGGCACCTCATTAATCCTGCCCGGCGGCGCCAGGTGAAGACCCCGCCAGGCAGCTGGTCCTCGTTTATCGGGAGGCCGCTGTGAGGCGACCGCCGCAGGGCTGGCGGCCGCAGGCGCAAGCCTGCTGCCAGGACAGCGAACCAGCGGCGCAGGCAGGCCCCTCCCAGCATCCCTCTCTGCGGACCCTCCTAGAAGAGGAGCGGCACCGCCCCACGCCCAAACTGCCCCTCACGTGCAGGCCCCAGGCTTTCCCGGTCCCGCCCCTTGCCTGACAATCAAGGCTTCCTGTAGTCTGGCCCCATCTTACCTCCGCGGACTTGGTCCTGCCTCACAGTGGCCCTCCCTGACGCCACTGTTTCTAGTTACCGTTTTATTAATTCCAAAGCGCCACACTTTTTGTGTGCCTGCCGTTACTGTTCCCCTTTCCGTGACCTGCGCTCCCCCAGGGCAGGCACCTCGCCTCCTTCACCTCTGTAGCTCTAGCACTTTGAACCACTCCGGTGTCCAGTTGGCGTGCAGGGAATACTATACACAGGGAAGAAAAAGTAACTTGATAGTAAGCAAGGCCATGAGCTGGAGCTGTCCATGGAAAGTTCCCTGGGCTTGCTGGCTGACATGGGGACTGGACGTCTTGGCTTTGCTCCTGGTAAAATCACAAGTCCCCTGAGGCGACCCCAATTAAATGGTGCTGTGGCCTTCTGGAGAGAACAGCAGTCCTGAGGGAAGTAGGCCCAGAGCAGGAGAGGCAATTGTGAGTAGAAAGGATTGGGGGTCCCACTCTTCCACAGACTAGGCAGTCCCTGCTTCCCTGAGCCTGTTTCCCCACGTGTAAGTGGTAGCCAAAGCCACCGACCCTACAGGGCTATTGTGAGGTGTGGACAGGCCCAGGCCAAGGTACGACCCATAGCAGAAGTTCAAAGGTGTGGGCAGAATGTGGGTGGGGGGAGGGAGAGGAGGCTGAGAGAGCTGTGACTTGGGCTGGGGGGCTGCAAGGGAAGAGGAGGGGGCAGAACCTCATCCTATGACATGGCCATAGGGGGCCACAGATTGCCAGCAGGTCAGGGTCCTGGTCAGGTTCTGGGACAGATGCTCATCAGGCCTTGGTGAGGAGGTCTTCTCACACCTCTCAGACCCAGCGTGTCTGCTGTGTGTGCATGCACACAAGCCAACGTGGGGGACTAAGCTTATCTGTTGTCACAGTCCTCTTATGTGTCTGCCTTCGCCAAGCAGGAACCAGCTAGAAAAGGGACACGTATCACTTGGAATTCAGCTGCTGCTCCTGACACTGGGCGGTCTGGTGTGCTGTTGCCGGTAGCTAGCCAGAAGTCATCAAGGGAGGGGCCTCCTGAAGCTGCCTGGGGTAGGCAGCAAGGTCAGCGGACCTGGGCTGCTTGTGTGGGGGCACAAGTCCTCGAGACATGGCCACCTTGGCATCATTTACAGCAGGCTATGATGGAAGGTGCCAAGTGCTCAAGCAGGGAGCATGAGGGGCAGTGACACTGTTGCATACACTCTGGTTTCTTCCGGTGCTGAGTAAGGGCGGACTGGCAAGCCCCCTCAGGGCAGGCGGAGCACTGTGCTGGGGAGCAAGTGCAGCGGAGTGGCACCCAGAGCCCTGTAACACGTTAAAATCAGTCTTCAGTTATCTAGACTCTCACACAGCTAACCTGTGCAGGACACGAGGTGATCTCGTGTGTGGACCAGCTGTGCTGTGCTATGACTCGGGGTGGGGGCACAGAGCCCCCATCTCCCAAACGCTGTCACAGCAGGCTGATGGCTGCTGCCCAGGGGAGTGGAGAGTTGCTCCCCACTGCTCTGGGGCCCAGAGGAGCTGAGGGGCAGGCCTGGCTTGGCTGCTAATCCCTGGAGCGATGCCTGTACAATGAGCTACCCGCCCATCCCTCTAGGGGACAGGACAAACCTGGGGTCCATTGTGCCTGCCCCAAGCTGCTTTCCTTGCCCTCACTTACCCTGGAGGGGTGGGGTGGGGCCTGGTCTCCAGTGCTCCAGGCCCCAGACCACACCTCAGAATGCAGGTGCCGCCCGCCCCTGCCTGATGCCCCTCCTCATTCCCAGGAGCACAGGGCCCTCTGAACCCAGGCATTCAGACTTCTTGTCACCTCCATGCGCTGGCCTTTCAGGCAGGTCAGCCACTCCAGCCCCACAGCAGCCCTTCCACACGGAGGGCTGGGCTGGGAGGCTCCAACATGCCTTAAGCAGTGACTCCTGGGAAGGCTGGGGTGGGGATTCCAGGCCAGGAAAGAGCCTCTGGAGTAGGAACCGACTGCAGAATTCACTTCATCTAACCTGTGGCTCAGCTCCTTGAGCTGTGTGGACAGTCATCTACACCGAGCTTCAGCGCTGTCATCTGAGAAATGGGGCAAAGCACTTATGCAAGAGAAAGTGCCCCGTGCACTCCTCTCACAGGACCCACTGAGTCAGTCTTAGCATCTGTAAAATGGGCTGGTAACTTTTGACCATCATGAAGATTCCAAGAGACAGCATCCTGCCTAGACAGTGCCTGAGCCCTGGGCACTCAGATGGCTGGTGCCCTCCCTGCAGACTATTTACCCCACACGCAAACACCATCTACACATGCTCCTTCCTCGTGATCAGTGCTCTGCGGGGGCAGGGTAGGAGCTGGCTGCAGGGGTCGGCAGCATAAAGGTGCTCCCAGGACCACGTTGCCAGGTGGAGGACAGCAGATCCTCCTGGCAGGGCTATTGTGGCTGAGCCCAGGTGGTGTGGTGAGAGCGGGCTGTACCTAAGCAGATGGTGCTGGGCGCCTAGTGCTGCTCCATTTGTAAACAACCACCTTGGGGGCACTCACCCGCCCAGCCCAGAGTAGTCTCTGCCCTGGACGAGGCCAAGAAGTCACTTCTTCCGTGGAGACTGAGCAACGCTGCTGCCAGCAGGCTGGCTTTCTACCTTTAATTGGGGGTACAAAAGGCACGTCTCCCAGGACAAGGGGATCAAGAACACGTGGGCCCCAGTGCCTGGTGGAGGCCTGTCTGGGAGGAACAGAGAGATGGATGAAAAAGGCAGAGGAGGTGGCGGCAAAGGCCAAGGGTGCTCCAGGCATCCCCGAAGCCTCAGCTTGCAGCCTGGGGCTGGTCTGGTCTCGCCTCCAGCACGTGCAGCCTTGTACCTGGAAGCGTGCAGCTCCGAAGAGGCCACCACAGCCGGCCCTCACTAGCCAGCCGAAGCCTCAGGGGTCCATGAGGCAGGGGCCAGGGGATGACCCAGAGGCTTCAGCAAAGGGCTTCTCCGGGCCCCAGCCCCCAGCAAGTCCTTGCCTGGCAGTGTGGGCCCAGCAGAGGGCTCCTCGGGGGATGTGCTCATGGAGGTGGTCACCCAGGACAGGGGAAGAGTCACACCAGGGCATCCAAGCAGCCAGCCTGTCACGGGGTCTCCCAGTTCTCAGCAAAGTCGTAGTGGTCGGTTGGGGTAGGGAAAGAGGCAGATGCCCAATGGAGAACGGACCCGTCCCCGATTCCTCCAGCTGCCTCCCCACTCCCTAGGCAGCATGGCCTGGCTGCAGCTGGGTCAGCTCCATCAAAGAGAGAAGAAGGGGACAGCTACCCCCTACAGCAGCCTAAACACCGAAGGAGGGAAAAGAGGCCCCAGCCGCGGGGTGCGGGAGCAGCGGGGCTCTGGATTGTGGAGCCAGGCCCAGCACTCATAAGGCGAACAGCATGTCTTCATCTTTCTCCTGGGTCTTCTTCCGAGGGGCGGCGCCAGGAGGGGGACCTGGGGGCCCCTCGGCTGAGGGGCTGGAGAGGTTGGGCAACCGATCCGCGGCCTTGGCCCGTTCTTCCAGGAACTTGTCAAATTCTAGAGAAGAAGAAAGGGTGGGTGTGGGCTGCAGGTCAGAGCTCAGGGAGGGGGTGGTGGGCAGGGCCAGGGGACTACTACCTTCACTGGTGACGCCCTTCGCCTCTTCAGCGTCATTTCCCTGAGAGAGCAGAAAGAGAGGAGGAGAGGTGAGCTGGGCCCTCCATCTCTGGCACTACGGGGCGTGGTGGGGTGATGGCTCAGATGGCACTGAACCAGAGTGGTTCCCGCCAGCTCTGCAGTCCAGCCAGTCCTAGACCGAATCTCAGCTCCACCCCTTCCTTAGCTGAGCTGCCTTGGTGTCACCTCACTTCTCTGAGCTCCCGTTTTCTCTTCAGTAAAATGGGGATGGTGACGCCAACTTGCCGGGTGCTGGGAAGCTAAAATGGGATAATAACTGCAGAGTGCCAAGCAAGGGATGTGGTGGCCAGCAGCTAATCCCTTTCCCCCTTCCAGCACCAGGGGTGGATGGATGTTTGTCCCATGGTGGAAAGGCTGGCACCCAGGGACTGAGGGCAGTTCACCTTAGAGTCAGGGGCTGGGGCGGGGGCGGACGGTGAGGCTTCTGTGCTGTGCCCGGGCCAATCGGCTGTCCTCTCCAAAGGGGAGTTGCCAGGGGAGGCAGGTGGGCAGGAGTGGGGAAGTGTCCCACATTAGTCTTCTCCCTTCCGCATCAGCTGTCCACCCTGACCCCTCAGGGCACTGCATGCCTCCACCCTGACCCCATGGCACTCATTTCCTCAGGAGTAAAGTGGGACCCCAGCATCCAAGCTTCCTCCTTTGCAGTGCTGAACCCCACCTGCTGGGTGGACAAAGAGTGGGCTGGGCAAGCCCCAACTTACCACATCAGTGGACAGCCAGTGCTCGATGTCCTCCATGAGGCAGGCCTGGGTGACGGGGATCTGGAAGGCAGCGCAGAGGGTGAGGCAGGGAGGGGCAGTGGGCAGTGCACTGGGTGACAAAGTGGGGGGCCCCGCCAGCTCCGTATGGCCCTCCCCCCAGCCTCAGTGCCTCACTATGAAGTGTGCTGTTGGTCCTGCCCTGTCCCCCTAGGGGGGTAGAGACCCTGGCACCCTCTCCCCTAGATGACTCCTGGGCTGCCTGGAGAAGCCAAAGATGCTCCTGCCCAGCTGCCTGGTACCCACAATTCTGCCCACTGTGCCAAACTGTGGGTGAGGGAGGTGAAGGGCCAGTAGACTCAGCAGGGGGTGGGTAGGTGGCTCTTCCTAGCTGCAGAGGGGAGTGGGTCTGCTCAACGATGAGGGCCCAGCCCTGGGGTCCAAGGGCCTACTATGCCACAGGCACTTAGGGGCTTTGACCATGACCCGGGAAGCCCAGGGAGGGTCCCGGACATCCTCTCCAGCCATCACGCTGGGGTGGGGGTCGGGGGTCAGTGCTCTGGCTCCTGGCATCTCTGTAGACTCAGGGTTCACGGTGAAAGGAGGTGTGGGCGGGGCCACAGAGGAGGGCGGGGCCAAGACGACCAGACAAGGCCATGCGGGTGGACTCAGAGGTCTGCTCTACAGAGTGGGCAGGTCACTCTGGGCCACACAGACATAGGCTCTGCCATGAGGGTTCCTGCGCAGGGGCTGGGCGTGACTTTCTAGACACTTGCCCTCTGTAAGTGCTTCTGCAGTTGGGAAATCCAGCTGTGGAAAGATAGGAGTCTCTTTCGGCCCCTTTGGGGAATTACTGAGCATCTCTGAACCTCATCTCCCTCATCTGTTTGAGGAAAGATGAGAATAGCACCTACCGTTGAGGCTGCTGTGAGGATTAAATGAGCTCATGGATATCAAGTGCTTAGCCCAGCGCCTGGCCCAGAGCAGACACTCAAGAAATGCTAGTTAGTTACTATTTAGCTACTTTGGGGAGGAAAGGGAGAGTCTTTCTCCACCCAAACCAGGTCAAGCCCCAAGCTCTGTCCCCCTGCACTGAGGATCCCACCAGGAGCAGCAGAGCCCAGAGAAAAAGCAGGAGTCCATTTCCCAAGCAGCAGCAGCAGCAGCTCCCTCTCCCACTCAACTCTGCTCACGCTCTGCCCAGAGACAACAGGCGAGCCCCCAGGTCACCTCTTGGCTTCCAGAGGGGCTGTTGTGGCCTTGCTTTGTTGTTAGGAGCAGAAACTAGGCCCTGGGGGCCGAGGAAGCGAGACTGGAAGGAGTGGGACGTGCTGGGTACTGGGCTGGGACCCGCTGGGCCAACCTGGGAACAGGCACTCACGGCAGCCCTCCTTCCTCCTCTGAGTCTTCCACAGGTCCCACTCCCTCAGACAGCGCCTCCTCGGCCCTGTTTTTGTGCAAGTAGCAGCACCCAGCTCTCCCTGTGGACAGGGCCTCACCCCTCCTCACCATGCCTTGTCTCACCATCCAGTCACTGAGGCTCTTCTCACTGCTGCCCTCCATCTGGGTGAGAGAGGAGCATGCTGCAGGGGGCCAGGGGTGGGCAGGGCCAGGGCTGTGGGAGCTCCTTTTGGGTCAGGAGGCCCCTGTGTGGTGAGTACTTGTGTGGTGTGGTGTGTCTATGATGGGGTGTGGGTGTGTGGTGTGTCTATGGTGTGGTGTGGTTGTGTGTGGTGTATGTGTATGGTGTGGTGTTGTGTGGTATGTGCGTGTGGTGTGGTGTCTATGATGGGGTGTGGGTGTGTGGTGTGTCTATGGTGTGGTATGGGGGTGTGGTGTGGTTGTGTGTGGTGTATGTGTATAGTGTGGTGTTGTGTGGTATGTTGTGGTGTGGTGTGTCTGTGTGGTGTGGTATGTTTGTGTGGTGTGGTGTATATGGTGTGCTGTGTATGGTGTGGGGTGTATACGTATGGTATGTATGGTGTGGTGTAGTGTGGTGTGGTATGGTGTGTGTACGGTGTGGTGTGTGTGCTGTGGTGTGGTATGCTGTGTGTGTATGGCATGGTGTGGGTGTGGTGGCAGGTGAAGGAATGGGGATAAAGGAAGTAGCAGAGGGTGTCTCACTGTGGGGTGAACCACAATAGCCCAGGGACTTCAGAGCCCGGAATGGGCTAGGGCAAAGCTTCTCAGTGTTTTCCAAAAAGATGCCAGGGGGTGTGAATGGGCACCCCAGGTTTTAGAAACATGGGCTTATCTAACCCCTTCAAACAGGAGACTTCCTGGGGCCCCAGAGCAAGGAGGTGGCAGAGGGAGGACTCCAGTCCTGGCTCCCAATCTAACCCTCTGTTGACTCTCCTGAGGCCCAGCACAGGGCCTGCACATAGTGGGCACTCTAGGGAACAAACGGATTAAAAACTGGCATGTGCTGTCCAACACCACAGGGCTGGTGAGCACTACTCTGACTGCCCACACAGCTGCACTTGATTCAGTTTTGTACTTTGCTGCTTGGCATGACATTCTGACGGTAAGGTGGATGGAACCACCCAGCCAGACTTAAGCATCTTGGGGGCAGGCGATTATTGACAGGGTTTTAAGAAAGTCATACTCTGATCTGGAAGAAGTCACTTAAATCTCTGAAGTTATCAGAGATGAATGAGTGATAATTTATCAGTTTCTGCAAGTAAGAGATGCGTGTGTGTTTTCCTTCCTGTGGGCTCATTGTGAAGCGGTACAGGGGTGAGAGCATCGGGCTAGGAGCCAGGAGACCTGGATTCTGGTTCAGTCATACTCCTGAGTTGCCATGTGCCCCTGCGTAAGTGACACATCTTGGTACGCAGCTGCTCCCATCTGAAGCAGGAAGGGGCTGGCTGGCATTGCTGCCCTGTAGGGCTGTGGAATTGGCCTCTGCCCACAAGAGGCCCAGGCTCCAGAGTGTCGGATTCATCCAGATTTGGAACTAGAAGGATGGCCCCTGAAAAAGGAAGGCTGAGGAATGGAGTATTCTCCCCGACTCACTCTCCTTTGCTCCTGAGAATTTTCCAGGCAACTGGCTTCAGGGCCAGACAGACCAATAGCTGTGAGACCTTAAGGCAAGTCCCCTCATATTCTAAGCCTCAGTTTTCTCTTCTCCAAGTGGGGATAAGCACACAGCAGCAGTATGAAGACTACATGCAGTAATACTTTACCATGTGTCAGGCATTACGCTAAGGATATTACATCTTCTACTGTTTTACTTAGCCTGAGACTCAGTGTTCTCATCTGTAAAAGGGGATGGTAACACTTTAAGGGTTTGTGTGAAGACTCGAGAAGAGGGGGATGTGATGTGCTTAGCACAGGGCCTGGCACAGAGCACACGTTTGTTAAATGACAGCTTCCAGAAGAAAAAACCAGGCGGCTCTGAGACCCTGCGTCTGTGTGCTATGCCCGCAGTAGGCCACTACCACAGAGGGGCACACAGTCCTGCCCTGGTCCTGCCTCCATGGTGCAATGTCTCCCTTCAGGCTTGGGACAGACCCCTGAGAAGCTGGGAGGCCCAAAGCAGAGAAGGAGCACCCCTTGGGAAGTTGTCGGGACTTTACCCCATGGTGAACTGGGCAGCTCCCACAGCCTCCTAATTGTTTCCTAGCTTCCATCCTGGATCCTTTCAAAATGGAGGTCAGATAAATGCCCCTCTGCTCCAGACTTTCCAGTGCCTTCCATTTCACTTGCAGGACAAAGTCCACATTCCTCCTAGCTGCTCTCTAGGCCCTGTGGTGGTGGCTGCCCCTCAGCCTCATCTCCCACCTCTCAGCACCTCCTGGCCCCAGAAGCCCGTGTGCTGTCACCAACTTCCTCCCCGGCTGCCCACTTCCTCGCCCTTCTCCACAACTCCCGGGCCCTGCTGTCTCTAATGACCTCGCACAGGAGCTATGAGTGTCGCTGGCCAAAGTCTGTTCACTTGGGGAACAGAAACCCTCACACTGCCCAAAGGCATCCAGAAACAAACGCAAAGGTGAGAACTGTGCTGTACGTAGTTTGTGCCAGCTAAGTGGCATGCTGCCAGAGCGTGCTCAGTGCTGGGCACAGGGCTGTCGCTCAGGAGAGTCAAGGGATTAAACGGAACGAAAATGATGCCCTTGGATGCTTCCCTGTTGTTGTAGGGTCTGTTCTCTTAGTGCCCTCTGTCTGCACTCCTGCAAAATAAAAGGTCCTCTAGAGAGGCAAGGGAGCCCTGGTGGTGCACTGGTTAAGAGCTCAGCTGCTAACTGAAAGGCTGGCAGTTCGAATCTACCAGCTGCTCCTTGGAAACCCTATGGGGCAGTTCTACTCTGTCCTGTAGGGTCGCTATGAGTCCGAATTGACTCAACAGCCATTTTTTTTGTTGCTGTTGTTTTTAGAGAGGCAGTGACTGAGCTCCAATTCTGCGCCAAGCACTTCACATGCGTCCTCTCGTGACACTACTAGAAGCTATTAGAGACTATTATAAAAGCCAGGGTCAATAAAGTTCACAATTTGCTGAAGGGCACACAGCTGGTAAGTGGGGGAGCTGGGAGGTGACCCCATGGCTGCTGGACTCCTGCTTCCTGACTCAGACTCAGACTGGAATCCTTGCTCTACCCCTTACTTGCTGTGTGATCCTGGGCAAATGACTTAACCTAGGTTCCCTCAGCTGTAAAATGGGAACAGTCACATTAGCCTCAAAGGACCAATTGGAGAACCACATGAGGGAAGGACTGTGAGTGCCGAGCCAGTGCCTGGCACACAGTGAGCACCCCTCGCCTTCCTATGGACAGACCCCAGGATGGCCGTGGGGCCCTCTGCTTACCGCTCCGGTGCTCTGCTGCCGGGCGTCCAGGGCTCCAGCCAGGCCATCTGTTGCTTGGGGGGCCTCATATTTGACCCTGAAACAGAGAGGCCACCACAGCCATTAGATGCTACTCTTGCTGGACCAAGCATGCTGGCTGATGTGGGGAGGGCACAGGGCAGAGGCAGGACAAGCTCACAGCTGGCAAAGGGCACAGGTTAAGGGCCCCAGCCCAGCCTGGGAATGGAAGAGAGGCCCTCCTTTCTGTGAAATGAGACCTGCACAACAGGCCTCAGCAAAGAGAAGTTTGGGAAGGTGCTATTGGCCAAAGGCCAGGAACAAGAACACCAATGGCTATAACCAGATTTGACCAAACTCCAGGGACTGAGAAGTAGCTCCAATGACCCAGTGCTTGTGGAGAACTCGTATCTACAGAACCTTTTTTGAGCAGCTTCTGCTGCATAATTTCATACATTGTGGTTCTCAATAAGGTTGCATTTGAATGGAGGATTCCCTTCTGCTGTTGAAAACAACTTTGCAGACTGCTGCGTGAGGGGCATCTTGTACTGGCTCACCAGCACGAGACTGCCTGTCCCCTCCCTGGCTTGGCAGCAGGGCACAGGATGACTCAGAGGCCAGCTTTTCAGATGTCCTCTAAGGGCGCCAGCCAGCCAGCCTGGGTGGGAGGAGGTGCCAGGCTGATGGGTGGGCATGGCAGAGGAGGAATGGGAAGGACACGTTTGTTGTGTTTGAGGCCAAGTCTTAGGGGAGCAAGAGAAGAAACCAAGAGTGGGAGAGAAACCTGTGCCAACAAGAGGTGGGGTGGCTCTCTTGGCTGCCACACGGGGGTGTCTAGGGGAAGTGTTGGGGACACAGTCCTGATGCTTGGCAAGAGCCCAGTCCTCAGGACCATGATGTGGAAGAAGGCGAGGAAGAGCCTCTTTTGCTTCTGGTAAAGCCTGGCTAAGACACCTGACACTGGCTGGCCCACATGCCCCAGTGGCTCTCCCTAGGACCAAAAGGGTCAGGGCCTGGTCAGTCTGAGAGGCTGTGACTGTGCCAGATGTGGTCAAAGCTGTAGCAGAAATGGGGGCTGACAAGGAGCTGGCTTCTGGGTGACAAAGGCCGACCAGGCTGCAGGTCAGAGTGAGGTTGGCAGCCAGCAGGCTGAGGGAGGTGGGGGTCAGACACAGGCAGGTAGAAAGGCCTTGGTGGAGTCAAGAGCCCCAGAGGACAAGGTAAGGTGAGGAATCAAAAGGCCAGTCAGGTCACCGGGGCTAGAGGACCCACCAGAAGGGTAAGGGTGGGACAGCCAGGTGGGAGAACAAAACAAAGACAAATGTGATGCTCAAGTAAAAGCCAGTCCCTGCTGGAACTTTTCTGCTGGGGCAGAAACCTATCCCCAGGGTGGGCCTGTGGGAGAAATGATGCCCTGAGAAGGTGGATGAAGCTGTTTCAGCCTGAGGGAGTTTCAAAGAGGCAAATCATTAACAAAAAAATTTCTCCCCCATACTTCCTACTACTACTGTTACGATAAACTCTGTGTTTGTGTTGCCCCTGCCACCCTCTCCAGCATCCTGCTCACCTTCCCTACACACACACCCTGTGCGGGAGCCAGGATACACCTGCCTCACCCCAGCGCCTCATGTGCTCCTCTGCCTCTGAGCCTTTGCAGATGCTGTTCCTCCTACTGCCTGAAAGGGCCTTCCTGACAGCCCCCTCGTGCAGGCCTGACTGCCCTGTGCAGTGACATGCCTCCTCTGTGCGTCCACAGTGACTGGTGCACCTGCTAGGACAGCTCTTAGCACCGCAGAGAAATGGTTCACTCACACGTCACTCTCCTGTGAGACCGCAGGCCCTGGAGAGCAAGATTCAGTTCTGCTTTTCTCTGCCCCTAAGGGCACAGCATGATCGTTCGCCAAATGAGTGTCGGACAGCAAACCTCCAGCCAGGTTGGTGAGCCAGGCCAGGAGCCAGGGACTCTCCCGTGTGGCTAGCACAGCTGCCCGCTGGGGCCTAGGCAGATGGACCACCCTCCTGGCTGCAAACCCCACCAGACTCATTAGCTTTCATCTGCACAGCAGCCACAGGTGGTGTCCCTGACTCCACGGCAACCATGAGCTGCTGGGTCCAGAGGCACCTGGCCTGGGGAGTACAGACTCTGCCCTGGGCTAAAGATACAGCACAGAGCTCAGGGCTGGCTATGGTCAGGGGACAGGGCCGGAGGGCTGTGAGGAAACTGGGTCACTGCAGACTGTTAGATTTGACCTGGATTTGCCTACATAGGGTGGGGAGTGAAGAGAGGGCTCTCTGAGCTCCGTGGAGGCCCTCGATGGAGTTTTCAAAGATGGGAGCCAAGAAGGTCCTCTTAAGAATCCTGGCTATAAGAATCCTGGCTGCGGGTCAGGTAGAAGCAAAGGGCTGAAAAAAACACCAGGTAAGCTGTCTCCCCTGATGAGCCTGTGTGGAGCCAATCCCTGAGAAGTCAAGGCAAGGGCAGGCCTCGGCTGACACACTCTGGGCCACATGCCTGTGGCTGCTAAAAGCACCCCCTGGAAATGGATGGTCCATAGGGAAAGCCAGAACACCAGCTCTGGTGCATAGTGGGCAGACCTGAGTGGGCAACAGGGACAGCTGTGAAAATTAAGGGAGGCTGTGGAACAACAGGAATGGCTTGTTGACAAGTCCCTGGAGACTTACCAGAATCTTCCCCACCTGCCTCTGGAGGAACTGGTACATGGCATACTGAGAAATGGGGAGTTGGGGTAGGCATGGAGACACCAAGGTTGGGAACCAGATAGCCCTGGCCTTTGCACCTGGCGCTGCCAAATGTTAGCTACACAGGACCCAGCCACTCACTCCTTCCGTTGGTCAGCCAATGAGCTGCCCCGCGTCAGCGCAAACATGTCAAATTCGTCTTCCAGTTGGCCGGAGGCATTCAGAGACTGCAGGCCAGCCCTCACGCTGCTGGAGCCCAGGTCTGCAGGGGCAGAAAGGCCCACGTGAAGGACCCACCCAGCCATCCTGGTACACTGAGCTGCTCTCTACCAGACCCAGGGCTTGCTGCTAGAGGGGCAGCGAGGTGGTCGGGGGCAGAGGGCAGAGCAGGGGGGGCATGGTCATCCACTGGCAGTGGAACCTTGGGCAAGTCACTTCCTCCCTCTAGCTTTAGTTTACTTATCTCTGAGGGGGAGATACAGTTAGCCCCTCCCAGGGCCATTGTATCTGGTAAACGGCTCAACAGTGGGATAAAAACAACCAACCAACCAAAGCAGTTGCTGTTCAGCTGACTCTGACTTGTGGTGACCCCACATGTGTCAGAGTAGAACTGTGCTCCATAGCGTTTTCAATGCTGATTTTTCAGAAGTAGATCACCAGGCCTTTCTTCCAAGGCGCCTCTGGGTTGACTAGTGTCTCCAATTTTTTGGTTAGCAGCTGATGATGTTAACTGTTTGCACTACCCAGGGACTCCAGACAGTAGGATAGTGATTAGATATGTAGTTGATTTTTCAAAAAGTATAGTATTAGTGATTCAAAACAGGATCTTAATTCTTTCCTAGAGCTTGGCATGAATCAGGCAGTCACTGACATTAAAAATAATCACAGTGATGATGATGACGATGGCGAACATTAAGAGTGCACTCTGGGCCTGGCCCTGTCTAATCACTTTTCATGTATTAACTTATCCAGTCCTCGTAACAACCTACGAGGAAGGTCCCGTTCCTATCCCACGCTACAGAGGAGGAAACAGAGGCACAAGAAGTGGAAGTAACTTGCCCAACGTCACCCAGATGATTAAACCATGGCACATTCCCAGTGTCGAGGGACAGTCACAGAATGGTGGGATTTCTGAGATCCAAGGGAGCTTGGGAATTGTGGAGCTGGGAGGGAGAATGCCCACATTTTGTTCTGAGTGCCCAACCTTGCAGCAAGATTCAGCTTGGGACCCTAGCGAGGTAGCGTTTGGGCCAACCTCTGCTGTTGGCACTTCAGCTCCAGCTGTATAACAGGAGGGTACTCCCAGAACTGCAGGGTGCCCACAGCAGCATAACATACCCCCGGCTGGAGTCCCATACCCACCGACTTACTCATTCCTGCCAGCTGGGATGAGAGGTGGCTGGGAGCTGCTGAGTCAGGGCCCATGTCGATCAGATCGGTTGCTGACTCGGCCTCGCTTGGGGCCTGGAGGGGAACAAGATGTCATGCCAATCCTCACTCCTGCCTGCAGCCTCAAGCTCTGCCCTGAAGCCCTGGGACTCAAATGCTCTGCTCAAGGATCTGTCACCAGGGCCCTGGCTGTTATGAGTTTTTGTAGCTCTACTGGACCCCCTGGCAGGTTAGAAAGACCCTTGGGCATCAGCTGGTGGCACAGCCTTATTTACTTTAAAGGGACAATGACATACAACCTTAGAAGGGGCCTTCTCTATGAGCCTGGATAAGAAAGCACTACCCTGCCCAGGATACCTGGGGAGGGAGGCAAGGAGAACAGCCCTCCTTCTTCCCATTGACACGGGCAGGATCTAGTCACAGAAAAGGAGAAGACTTTTACCTTGGCAGTCTGGCCTGTTCGGAACCGTTCAAACCTACAAGACAAAAGACCCAAGTCAAGGAGACACACTGAGAGGGGTCACCTTGGCACAGCCCAGGCAGTGCTTTTCAAACCGGGGGTCTCAAAGTCAATGACGGGGGCCACGAGCAGGGTGACAACACATCCTGGTTTGCCCTGCACAGACCCAGTTTATGTCTGTCCCCAAGGAATTAATAAGAGTACCTCTGTTTCACTTGCAAAAGTGTCCCAGTTTGGATTATATGGCCATCCTAGTCATGACCAACACCAAACCAACCACCCAACCAACCAACATAGACTAGGACAGAAAAGGAAATCAGGATGCACAGCACACAGTAAAGGTAAGAACTGCTTTATGAAGCTTGTGTCAGTTATACATTTGTTGTGCGTATGTCAGTGGCTCTCTAATGTGGTATAAGAAAGACACACACAGTTCAGACACTGCTTTATGAAGCCACCTAAACTACCCTGACAGGCCAAGCAGCGGGTGAGCTGGATGGAGAAGAGCTTGGTCTGGAATCTGTTTGAGTCCTGCCCTGTCACATATTGTGTGGCCTTGGGTGAATTACATCACTTCTGAACCGCAGTCTCCTTATCTATTAAAACGGGGCTAAGAATAGAACTTGTCTCCCAGATGGTTGTGAGGATCAAGTGAAAACACAGGGTGGGAGCAACTTTGTTAACTGAAAGTGCCAGGGGAATGCTACCCCCTATGAGTGTGAGTGTCACAGAGGCACCAGTCACCCCACAGCCCACGCACCCAAAATGGCAGGGAGGGGACACTTTCATTCCCAGTGGAGAGGGGTGGACACACGGCCTAGTAGGAGAAGCTAGGCAGACGTGGCCTGCAGTGGCCACACCCCACTCTCAACTTATTTGGAATCACTCTGTGAGTGTCTGCTGGTGGATAAAGATACGAGGATAAGAAGTGACGGGAGGGGGTTGGAGTACCTAGTACCATTTACCAGACAGCCCTGATTGCTAAATGCTTTAGACACGTTATTTCAGGGACTCTCACGGCTACCCTACGAGGCTGGTATCACCGTGAGTCTCGTTTCACAGATATGGACTCGTTGTTTCTGCAGTTGTAGTCCAAACGTTCCTTTGAGGAACTTCTCTTCCCCCACTGTGATCCTGGTGAGACTGGCATCAAGGGGCTCTCCCTCCTCCCCCAACTGGTGGGCACAATGAAGCTAAGCCAGAGTCTCTCTTAGGGATCTGACTCTTAACAGCATGATACAAGCATGGGCAGATGTTAGAGCTGGTCCATTTGTTGATGGTAGCACCCTGAAGACATGGTCCAGGAGTTTCTGCCCCTGAGACCCCTAAGCTGCCCCAGGATTTGTCCTTCCTGCTCTGTCGGGTGGCTTCATTGTTTCACTCTTCTTTGGATTCTGAAAGCTACCCATTTAATAAAGCCTGTTCTTCTAGTAAATTCTCTTTGTGTTTAAGTTAGCCAGAAAGCCTTGTGTAGCTTACGATCAAAGAGCCCTAATTAAGTTAGGTAACTTGTCTCAGGTCCCAGAGCCAGTAAGTGGTGGAGCAAGCAAGGACAGACCAGGCCTGTCTGGTGCCAGGGCCATGCTCTTAGCCACCATCTACTACCACCTCCCAGAGGTGGACTCAGGGACACAGATGGCAGGGCTAACTTTGGAAAGGAGGTGAGGGTGGGAGGAAGGAAGGATAATTCATGCACATGCTAGGAGACAGCTGAGAACATCCACTCAACGGCTGCCTTGTGTTTGATAAGAAGACAAGAGGAAGCTCAGATGTTGTGAGGAGACCAGGAGAACAGGAAGGAAGGGAGCAGGTTGAGCAGTTGGCCAGAGGCCGGGAGAGGTGGCAGAATACCGTTCGTGGCGCAGGAACACGTTGTTGAGATTGTCGTTGACAATAAGCAGCTCCTCGGTCAGCTGCTCATCGGCGATTCGGGGGATGAGCTCCAGGATTCGCTGCTGCATGGCTCGGCATGTCCGGTTGAGCTCCTGTCGAGAAGGAAGTGAGAAAAGCACAGCCACTCAGCCTGGAGTGGGACCATCTCCAACGGATGGGGCTCAAGCCCCGGGATGTGCCTTGGAGGACGGATAGGTTTCCAAACTTGGCTTCAAGGTTCCAGGGAATAGCTTTTGGGGTTCACAATTACACATTTGAATTTCAATTCTAATGTGTTCTACAGTAAAATTTAATGCACTGGAGATCACAACATGTTAAACTTGGCTTTGTGCAGACTTCCGAATAGTTTCTGCTGCCATCTTTGCTTAGTTGGAGAAACCGAGACTGGAAGGTGGCCTGGAAAACAAACTGCAGCTTCTCTGGGTATATTGAGATTTTTTGCAACCAAAGCATTGGAAAAGGAACTACATGACTTCAACTATCATCTTCAGCCCCTGATTTTGCATTTCTGCCTCATTAGTCTCACTGGCAGACTTTTTTTTTTAATAGTACACTTTTACTTGGGAATAATTTTTGATTTATAACAAAGCTGCAAACAGTACAGAACATTTTTGTATACCCTTCACCCAGCTTTCCCTTAGTTTGACGTATGTCAAAGCTAGGAAATGAAGATTGGTACAATATTAATAACTATAGACTTTATTCAGATTTCACCAGGTTTTCCATTAATGCCCTTTTTCTGTTCCAGGATCCAATCTAGGATACTGCAATAACAGTCAGGTTGACTTTGTTGTCGTTGTTTTGTTTTAAATATATGAATAATACAACATTTGCCAATTCAACAATTCAGGTAGACATTTAACCAGTAAGCGTCATCTATTTAAACTTCTTTGGGAAAAAGAAGTTGTATTATAAAAAAAAAAAACCTGAAAACCACAGCTCTGTAGGTTTTGAAGGAGCCCTGGTGGCCCAACAGGTAAGCTCCTGGCTGCTAACTGAAAGGTCAGCTGTTCAAACCCATCCAGAGTCTCCACAGGAGAAAAGACATGACTATCTGCTCCCATAAAGACTACAGCCTAGGAAACTCCGTGGGGCAGTTCTATTCTGTCCTACAGGGTCGCTATGAGTCAGAATAGACTCAATGGCACACAACAACAACAACAATATTGACTGCTCATCGTCAATGCCAGTCTCTTTCTTCAGGTATCTGCCACCAGGGGAACAGGTCTTGAGGTCCAGACAATCCTCAGGCACAGCTGACTATAGGCGCACTGCAGCCTACTTTTCTCCTGGAGCGATCATCATCTTTTGGACCCTGCCACCCACCCCTTCCTAGGTCAGGCGTTCTTCTGCTGGGAGTTCCTCATCTGCCTTTAGCTTGGGGCAGGGCAGAGCTGAGTGACTTTCAACATCCCGATGGGCCCCCCTCTCTTCCTCTGAGGACCATGCACACCTGTGGCCTTGCTTCTTTTCCTTGCTAGCCCCTCTCAAGAGCATAAGAGCAGTACTTGGAGCCAGGCCCCCTAGGTTCAAATCCCAGCTCTGCTACTTACCAGCCACATGACTCTGGGCATATTACATTACCTTTTTTTGGCCTTAGTTTCCTAATCTGGAAAATGGGGATAATAAGAGTACCTACCTCATGGGGGAGGGGGATGTCATGAGGTTCAGTGAGTGAATGTTTATCAAGTGTCTACATCAGATCCTGGCACAGGGAAGTGCTCACTGCCTGAGGGCTGTCACTGTGTCATCCTCACCCATCAAAAGCACTCACACCCACATGGCCTCAGCTTGGGACATACAAAATTGACTGTACTACAGCAATCCTGCTGCCCCCAGCTCACTCATCTTTTCTCATAAGCCCTCATTTAGTCTTCATATTCATTAGTTCATTCATTCATTCAATCCCAAGACTCCTACTTCCACCCCTACCCCCCACCCATAATGTAAGGACCCCTGAGCAAGTACACTGTGTCAGCCCGCTTAGGCACAGGGGCAGGAATGAGTCAGACAGGAGCCTTGCCCTCCAGGGGTTGGAGGCCCAGTGAGAGACAGGCATGAAATCAGACAATCGCACTAAGCACTCTGTCCCCTCTGGATTCGGGAAACTCCCTGGCTGTCAGGGTTTCACTGCCTTCTCAGTGCCTCATTCAGCACAGCTACCTCTACAGACTGACTCCACAGAGAGAGGGACTGTATCCAAACACAGCCCCTTCTGCTCCAGTGGGCACCCCAGCTGGGATGGGAGCATGGGAGCACAGACCAGTAGCTCCCCCCGCCTCTGCTCCCCACGATGACCGTTCTCACATCTCTAAGCCAGCTCTGCTCTCCCATGCCTTGCCCTCCTCCATCGTCCTGCCTGCTAATCTCACCTGCGTGTTTTTCCTGCTACCGTTTACTGACAGCTTACTCTGTACCAGACAAAGGGCTAGGCATTTTACATGAAATACCTTATTTAAATGTCACATCCAACTTTACGCCATAAAGGCTCTTATCAGAGCGATCTCACAGATGAGGAAACTGAGGCAAGATGGGCTGTTGTGTCCAAACCAAAAGGTGATAGAGCCAAGATTGGAATTCCTATCTGATGGAATCCAAAGTCCCAGTTTTAAACATCTGCTGTGACCAAGGAGTTCAGAGTATGCCACGACGTGTGGGCTGGGAAGGAACGTGTGTGGGCCAACGGGCCAGAAGTCACCTAGGGGCGGGGGAGGCTGGGCCTGGGAGGCTGAGCTGGGGAGGGGCCATGCTCACCTGCAGCAGCTCCAAATCCGCAGGCTCGGCCTGGGTGGGTACCAGCTCCGTCAGCATCTCCGACATCACTCTCACGTTCCCGCTCACCATCTCCAGCTCGCTGCGCAGCTTCGCGATCTGAAACGCACCGTGGGCCCCGGTGAGAGAAGCCAGGGTCTGAAGCCACTGCCCTCACAGGGCAGGAGCCTGGCACCACCAGCCTGGCATGGCACCCAGAGGAGCCGACCTGCCAGCATCCTCCCTGGACAGCCTGCCTCCTGGGCCACAGCCCTGCATCAAGAGGCCTGTGGTGGGCTTGTCCCCACCCCTTCACAAGCCCCCCTTCACAGAGCTGCTACCAACCATTACCATCTCCAAAATGGGGAGCCCGGTGCAGGCAGAGGCCCACAGAAAACAAGCTGAGGGTGAATGAACCACCGAGTGTGGGTGGAAGGACTCCAGCATCTCCTCGGTCCAAAGTGGCAGCTAACAAGGCCTCAGGGGGCGGCTCCTCCCAAGGGGCTGAAGTGGGGCCTGCTGGGAGCTGCCCAATTAGTTCCTTCTGGTGCCTGCCTTCTAAGCGAGGCCTGAAAGCAAAGGGCTGTTAGCCTGCTGCTCTGAGATGGAAGGTCTGGGAGACTCTCTGGGAGAAAAGACATTCTGCATTAATAATGAAGGGTTCGATGGGGTATGGTGGGCAGGGAGAAAGAGAGCTTGAGACAGCAAGGGAGCAGAAAGCAGGGGCTCTTCATTCAATTAGACATTATGCAGTTAAAACTTAGCGGTTGTCAAGGAAACTTTTGAGGGATGATGGCTATGTTCATTATCTTGACTGTGGTGATGGTTTCGCAGAATTACACATGTGCCCAAACGGATCAGATTCTAGTTTTAATATGTGCAGACTGTCGTATGCCAATCATCCCTCAATGAAGTGAGGGATTATCCCTTAGTAAGGTTTGTTAAAAACAAACACACTCAGTGGCTGTGTTTTGTCAGCTACTAGGCCTTGGGCACGTTCATACTAAACGACACCCCTGCCGGCTCACCCTAGTCAGGCCCAGCCAGGCCCTGCTCCACAGTCCTCCTCATCCACAGTAGGCAACCCAACCCCAAACTTCAATTTCTGTTGCTGCCTATGTTCCGACCTCCCAGTGCCTCCACGATGGACCTGGGCACTGACTTGCTCCTGAGCCGCAGGCCCTCTCTCTCCTGGGATAACTGGGATTTTGCCCTCTCCCTCCTCCTAGGATAACTGGGATCTTGTCCCTCCTCCTAGGATAACTGGGATCTTGTCTTCTCTCTCCTCCTAGGGTAACTGGGATCTAGCTCTCTACCTCCTCCTAGGATAACTGGGATCTTGTCCTCTCCCTCGTCCTAGGACAACTGGGATCTTTCCCTCCTCCTAGGGTGTCATGGATTGAATTGTGCCCCCCAAAAATATCTGTCAACTTGGCTAGGTCATGATTCTCAGTATTGTATGATTGTCTACCATTGTCATTTGATGTGATTTTCCTGTGTGTTGTAAATTCTATCACTATGATGTAATAAGATGAATTAGTGGCAGTTATATTGATGAGGTCTACAAGATTAGATAGTAACTTAAGCCAATCTCTTTGGAGATATAAAAGAGAGAAGTGAGCAGAGAGATAAAGAACCTCATATCACCAAGAAAGCAGTGCCCGGAGCAGAGTGTGTCCTTTGAACCTAAGGTTCCTGTGCAGAGAAACTCCCAAGCCAAGGCAAGATTGATGACACAGCCCTTCCTCCAGAGCTGACAGTGAAAGTGTTCCCCTAGAGCTGACACCCTGAATTTGGACTTGCAGCCTACTAGACTGTAAGAGACTAAATTTCTCTTCCTTAAAGCCATCCACTTGCAGTATTTGTTTTAGCAGCACTAGATAACCAAGACATAGGGTAACTGGGATCTTGCGCTCTCCCTCCTCCTCGGATAACTGGGACCTTGTCCCTCCTCCTAGGGTAACTGGGATCTTGTCCTCTCTCTCTTCTGCTAGGATAACTAGGATCTTGTCCTCTTTCCTCCTCCGAGGATAACTGGGATCTTGTCCCTTCTCCTAGGGTAACTGGGATCTTGTCCTCTCTCTCCTCCTAGGGTAACTGGGATTGTGTCTTGCCCCTGGCCTCCTCTGGTGTCCTAGGCTCCACCTTGAGTCTAAAACTCTGATTGAGGGCAGCCTTCCCCAAGGAACACTACTCCAAGAGGTGTTAACAGGCTTTCAAAGATCAAAGGGTTCCCAGGTCTTGTGCTTGGGGAAACATTCTAAGTCAAGTCACAAAGTCACTTCAAACAGGTTAGGCCATGAGAGGCCACCAGCTTAAGTGTCTTATGCTGTGGGACTCTGGGGTGGTTAATATCCTAATGTACACTGTATACTGTGAACCCCCAGGAAGAGATCAACATGAAAGTTTCCAAAATTCCTTTGACTGAAGAACCTTTTACCATGGACTATCTCGTGGGGCTAACATTAAGTGGAATACATTTTGGGAAATGCTAGTACAGTCTAAACTGTGTGCCCCAATTATAGTTGAGTTCAGAATATGAGAGCCACTCTATAAACTGATGATGGCTGTGATGGCAGCCACCACTTACTGACCACCTGTTAAGTGCAATCACTTACCTTACATCTCTAGTTTAACTTCACCACTGTCTTAGCAGGTAGGTACCATTATCCTAGCTTTTACAGAAGCAGAAAGGGGAGCACAGAGACACGCGGCATGTCCACTTCGGCTCACTGACATCTAAAACTTGCAAAACGTGTGCTGTGTTTAACCTTTTAATAAATGCTCTTGGTATGAGTGAGTGGAAAAATTACTGCATACAAACCCAATGTATCCAAGTCAGATGGGACTTAATTACAAAGGAGTATGGGAGTTACATCAGTGCGTGCCTGAATGTCTTCGCATGACCCAGGAGTCAGAAGGGGACACTGAAATTAAAGACTACTCACTTTTGTTCAGCAATAATCTCCTGCACAACGAGCAATTCGAACCTTAATCCACACACATGCTAGATTTCAGCCAAATCAGTTAAAATTGAGGAGCCCTGGTGGCACAGTGGTTAAAGTACTCGGCTGCTAACCAAAAGCTTGGCGGTTCCAACCCACCAGCCGCTCCATGGGAGAAAGGTGTGGCAGTCTGCTTCCGTAAAGATTACAGCCTTGGAAACCCTATGGGACAGGTCTACTCTGTCCTATAGGATCCCCATGAGTCGGAATCAACTTGGCAGCAATGGTTTTTAGGTTTTTTAAGATAATTTTTGGATCACAGGTGGTTTTTAGCATTTTTTATGCACCTTTAATTACTTTATCCAGTTGGCAAAACTTTTCCAGTATTACTTGTAACCTGGGGGAGGGGAGGGGGTGACTTCATAACTTGTTATGAGATATTAAAGTACAGAAATTTCTCTTCAAATAGGTTAGGACGTGAAAAGCTCCTGATAAGTTTACTGGTTTGTAAGTCCAAATACTACCGTACATGTGACTGGTGAGGCCTCACCTTTGGAAAGCTAAGTTTCAATTTTTTCAATTATACACCTGTGTCTTTCTTATCGGCACTTTCAGCAGCTAAGCGTTTACACTTAGTTGATGTGATGTGTCTGAAGTTTGTAAAATACCTCAAAAGTGCACAGCCCATAGTGCACAGGCCTCAATTGCCATCCCAACAGCCATGCCTAACATGATTGAGCAGTCTGCTAATAGTGGTCTTGGCTGGAGAAGTTCCAGTAGCTTTGGCACTCTCCAAACAGCTCGGAGGAAGACCCTGAGGCACAGAGACTGAACCAGTCAGCATGTCACCCAGTCTGAGGCTCGTAATCCTTCAAAGCTAGCCAAGGGGCTCTAGGAAAACTGGTCCCCAGGCCCTAACCTCTAGAATCTTATAGACAGTAGGCCTCAAACCTTCTTGAACCTTCTTTGTGGGAAGCAACATAGTGCAATGCAAAGGTGTTTATTTTTTGTGAAGACGTTTTAAAACTGTATCAGCTAGCACCTCTGTTCAAATGAAATCTTTTGTGAATACAGAACCAAACCACACAAAGAAGAGCTGGTCTGGTTGAAGGGGGTGTTTCCCGTCCATGGTACCTCCCCCAGGGCTCCACAGCAAGCACAGTTTGAAAAACTGCCGAGGTACGGGACAGAGCATGCTTGGAGTCAGACAAACTTGAGCTTGAACCCAGCTGTCTCTGATGAGCTGTGTGATTCTGGGCAAGTTAATGCATCTCTCTGAGCCTCAGTTTCCTCATCTCTAAAAGAAGAAGAAGAATATGCACCCTGTGGGGCTGGTGTGAGGACTAAGTGGAGGCTTAATTGATAATAATTTCCATACTGACAGTGGTCCCTCCCTGAGGTGTGTGGAGGCAGCCCAGGCCCCCCCTGTCTTGACCTGCTGTTTACCTGCTCAGGGGTTGGTGCTATGGGTGTGTCGCTGGGAGGTACAGCTGGGGTGGACAGAGGGGCAGTGTGCTGGTTAGAGTCCACTTGCTGACTGGTGTCGGTACCCACAGCATACTGTCCTGAAGGTGTTTCCGAGTTGAACACAGTCTAGAGGGCAAAAAACAGGATCAGCAAGGATTTCTGGAAAAGATAAGGGGCCCAGGGAGTCAGAGAGCTAAGAGGAAGCAGCTGCAGAAAGCCCCTCTGCTGACAACTCCTGCCTTCCCTCCCATGATTTCCTGGAGCTGTGAGGAGGGGGGACTGCCTAAGGGCCCACAGGGCGATAACTCTCCTTACCCTCTGGGGCGTGTGGATGGGCGAAAGCATGTCCAGGTCGGTCATGGGGAACTCCAGGCCCTTCCTCCGGAGGTCCTCGTAGACAGCAACGACACCTGTCAAATCGGGCGAGCTGCGGAACGCGTCAGCCCAGGACTGAGAGAGGGACAAGGGGACATGGCCAGTAAGCACTGCTCATTTTCTCCCTGTGAGCCCGCCTTCCCTGGCACTTGCTGGTTCTTGCCCTCTGACCACATTCACTCAGCCAGCCAGCCCCTCCATAGCAACGCTCAGCCAACAAGCCTCGCCCCATGCACAGAACGTCCCATCAGCAGACAGCCACAGACAAGGAGACAACTACCAGAAATGGGGACTGAAACAAACTGACAAAAAGAACAGGAAGGGGGAGGGGTGGGGCACCATCTCCTTGGCCTAGGGGCCTAGCTCTCCACTGGGAAGGTAGCCCCTACTATGCTGACAGCCCCTCCTCCAGCCCCACCCCTGCCCCGCCCGGCACTCACCTGGATAAGGTTGAGCACCTTGTCGTGCACGATGGTGGGAGGGTTGTTCTTGGGCAGGATGGTTCTTACCAGCACCCCCTCCACGAAGTCCTGGCTGGCCACCAGCACGTGGAAGCGGTGCCCACAGTTCTTGACACAGGTTTCTAAGACCTGGAGGGCCACGGGGTGCCAGTGAGCAGCCCAGCCAGAGGAGGGGAGTCACCCAGACCACCCATCCTTACAGCTCCACTCACATCCCAGAGGGGGAGGCTGAGCAGAGGCATGGGGCTTCCTAAAGACAGACTCTGGCCTGCAGAGAACTGGCGGAACACCTGGATTGGGGGCTTGTGTGCTGGGGGGCAGACCACGTGAACAGAGGGTGGGGTGCCAGGTGGAGGCCACTCACTGACTGGGGTCAGTGCCCACAGGACTCTGTTGTGATCATGCCGCCGCGCTGAACACGGTCTAGCGGGTAGGTGGCACTCCAAGTGGAAATCAACGAGAACTTGAGCTTTCAATCAGCTGGTGACCCTGTAGCCCAAGGAAATGGCACCGAACTTCCCTCCCTACTTCCCCGCAAGGGCTATGCTTTGCTTTTTGGCTTAACCTGATTCACCAGGATGTAAATGCTGCTTGTGGGGAGGCTGGGATGGTGTCCTCCATGCCTCCCCCACCCAAGGCAAACCCCTCCTGGCCGCCAGGGGGCCTGCCTGTGCCTGGACGCTGTCCTGTGTGTGGACCAGTGCAGTGTGGGGACAAGACTGCCCTCATCTCAGCCCTAGCATTTGTTTTATGCTCCTTTTTCAGGGCATCAGAGTGCCAAGCGGCACTCAACTCGGCCTGCCAGGCTTCTGCTCCCCCTGCCAGTGGGCTGGGGAGAACCTTTCCAGAAGGCCTCTCTTGCCATTCCAAGCTCACCAGCAGTGCAGACAGGACAGTGCTTTGCCCATGGGCCTTTCCTTCCCAGCCTTTGGATGAGGAGCCACAGGTGACCGGAAGTGCCACTGGGCCTGAGGGGAGGCCGACCTCACGGACCATGGTCCTGCCTTGGCACAGACGGACAGATGGGGCACTCACCGTCAGAGCCAGCATCACCTCGTGGAAGTTCTTATTCCCCACGATTCTCTTCTTCACTGCTCGGAAGGCATCTTTGGGACTGGGAAGAAGGACAAAAGAAAGGCTGGTCTAGGTATGGGGCCTCCTTATCCAGCACAGGAGGGAGCATGCCTAAAATCAGTGGCTCTGCAAAGCTGGACCAGCTTTAGCCACCCAGCTTCCCTGTGTCCCAACCTGTTTTGTGTATTCAGGTTTGAATCACACCAAAATCTCCCTGCCTCCCCATGATCCCTTCTGGAGATCATGACGGCTTAGCGGTGCTTCTCAGTGTGTGGTTCCTGGGCCAGCTGCAGCAGAACCCCTTTGTGGGGGGAGGTGTGACTGGTTGTTAAAGATCAAGGAATCCCACCCTAGACCATTAGCAAAAAACTCTCTTAGGGAGGATGTGTACCTTACCCTGCCCTTTGGGGCTTCTTATGGGTAGTGAAATTTGAGAACCAATAATCTATAGAAATCAGCTCTGGGGCCTCATCCTGGTCAGTTCCTCTATACAGTTCCTCTATCTGGCCATGCTTCTATTCAGTTCTTATTAGGTAACCATCATGTGCCAACAACCATGAGGATGGCACAGAAATGGGCAATGTTTCTCCCTGTTAAACACACGCTCACCGTGAGTTGGCACCGAGTCTATGGCAACTAACAACACGTGCCAGGCACTATACTAGGTGCTAGGGATACAGGGTGAACAAGACCCACACGGCCTTGCTCTCAAGGACCACAGCTTACAGGGGAAAACCAAATAAGCGAAGGAAATAAGCAGGGTCCTGCGATGACAAGGGCTGGGTGTAGGTGGGGGAGGTTAGAGAAGCCCTTCAGCTGAGCCCTGAAAGATGAGAAGGTGCCTGCTGGTGGAAGAGGGGGTGATGAGCAGTTCAGGTGTTGTTGCTGTTGTTAGGTGCCATTGACTTGGTTCTGACTCATAGTGACCCTATGTATAACAGAAACACTGGTCAGTCCTGCGTCATCCTCACAATCATTGCTATGTGTGGTGCGATGGATCACTTTTGTGTGGCCTTTCTTGCCATGATCTTGTAACTCCCACGCAAGTGACTGGGTGGGACTGTGTGATAGGGTAATTGTGGCCCACCAAGGCGACTGGTCAGTTTTGCCATCCTGCTGGGTTTCAAATGAGCCACCCCAGAGGTAGGAAATAGGAACCCATTGGAAGAGGCTGCATAGGCCAGGCTCACTATTGTTTACTCCCCCGTTGCTAACCGCCACATTGTCTCATGATCTTTTTTTCTCCAGTCTCTACAAAAAGGTTTAAGATTAACCGATGTTCCTCCCTGGAGGGTAGAAAATAAGTGATAATGATCTAAGAATGAAAAACTAAACAAAGCATCCATCTTGTGACAAGAGGAAGCAGAAAATCCCCAAAGATGTCACCAGATAACTTCTAAGAATACCAGTGGAAGGTTAACTCATCTAAGACATCACCACCTCAAAGAAAAACTACCATAAAAGATCTATAATCCTGTCCCTATAAAAGACTCCAGCCGATCTCCAGTGGGAGAGACGGGTTTTTTGGAGGAATCTATTCCCCTCTGTCTCCTGTATATCGATATATAATAAACGTCTTGCTGCTCACCTCACCCGTCTCAGAATTGGCTATTGCGGCAGGCGGCTCCAATCCGCATTATTGCGGTAACACCATCGCCACCACAAGAACAGCCAGGAGCCAGCACGTCGTTTGGACCCGGGATCACTGCACTGAGAAGCTCCTGGATCCAGGAGACAGACAGAGAGAGAGAGCTCCAGAAGAGGCAGCAGAGACCCGACAGCAGGAGACAGTGAGGTGGGCTTCCTGGCCCATGGAAACAGAAAGCTGAGTAAGTGCCTTTGGGCAGCAGTCTAGGGCCTGGGAGATGCATGCCTGAGAGCACGGCTGGGAAGGGGCTGCATCCTTGAGTGTTCCTGAGCCTTAATTGTAACCTGTTGTTAGGTGCCGTTGAGTCAGCTCTGACCCATAGTGACCCTATGCACAACAGAACAAAATATTGCCTGGTCCTGCGCCATCCCCACAATCGCTGCTATGCTTCAGCCCATCGTTGCAGCCACTGTGCCAATCCATCTCATTGAGGTTCTTCCTCTTTTTCCTGACCCTCTACTTTACCAAACACAACATCCTTCTCCAGGGACTTATCCCTCCTGATAACATGTCCAAAGTATATAAGACGAAGTCTCACCATCCTCGCTTCTGAGGAGCATTCTGGCTGTACTTCTTCCAAGACAGATCTGTTCGTTGTTCTGGCAGTTCATGGTATACTCAACATTCTTTGCCAACACCATAATTCGAAGGCGTCAATTCTTCTTCAGTCTTCTTTATTAAATATCCAGCTTTCGCATGCATATGAGGTGATTAAAAATACCATGGCTTGGGTCAGGCGCTCCTTAGTCCTTATACTGACATCTTTGCTTTTTAACACTCCAATGAGGTCTTTTACAGCAGACTTGCCCAGTGCAGAACTCGTTTGATTTCTTGACTGCTGCTTCCATGGGTGTTGACTGTGGATCAAGTAAAATGAAATCCTTGACAACTTTAATATTTTCTCCATTTATCATGATGTTGTTTATTGGTCCAGTTGGGAGGATTTTTGTTTTCTTTATGTTGAGGTGTAGTCCATACTGAAGGCTGTAGTCTTTGATCTTCATCAGTAAGTGCTTCAAGTCCTCTTCACTTTCAGGACGTAAGGTTGTGTCATCTGCATAACGCAGACTGTTAATGAGTCTTCCTCCAATCCTGATGCCCCGTTCTTCTTCATATAGTCCAGCTTCTTGGATTTTTTTCTCAGCATACAGATTGAATAAGTAGGGTGAAAAGATACGACCGTGATGCACACCTTTCCTGACTTTATACAATGCAGTATCCCCTTGTTCTGTTTGAACGACTGCCTCTTGATCTATGTACAGGTTCCTCATGAACACAATTAAGTGTTCTGGAATTCCCATTCTTTGCAGTGTTATCCATAATTTGTTATGACCCACAGTCAAATGCCTTTGCATAGTAAATAAAACACAGGTAAACATCTTTTTGGTATTCTCTGCTTTCAGCCAGGATCCATCTGACATCAGCAATCACATCCCTCATTCTACGCCCTCTTCTGAATCCAGCTTGAATTTCTGGCAGCTCCCTGTTGATGCACTGCTGCAGCCGCTTTTGAATGATCTTCAGCAAAATTTCACTTGTGTGTGATATCAATGATATTGTTCGATAATTACAGCATTCTGCTTGATAGCCTTTCTTTGGAATGGATCTCTTCCAGTTGGTTGGCCAAATTTCTTAGCATAGATGAGTGAGCACCTACAGTGCTGCACTGCAGTTCAGGTAGATGCACACCAAAGGTGCGGGTATATGTGGAGGGGGGAGCTAAAAGAACTAAAAAGAACTAAGAAGGAACTAAAAGGAGGCCCCAGTTAGTGTGGGGAGAGGTGAAGGGAGGAGCTGAAGAGATCTAAGGCTCTGGGAGGGAGGGTGGAGGCACAGGAAGTACAGTGGGGAGCCAAGGAAAGCCTTGGTGACAGCAGGCCCGCCCTGTCCTACCCATACTCCACTGCCACCCTCCCCTCCTAGCCCTGTTGTGGTGTAATCAATGTTGCATGAACACTCTTCCCTAAAAGCCTTTGCTCAGGTGATTCTTCTCACTCCCTGCTGATCAAAGGTCCCCATCTAGTTAAGGGCCAGCTGAAATCCACCTCCTCCACGACGTCTCCCCAGGTCCTCAGTCTCCCATGGGTGAACTGCCATGTGACCCTGACCCGGTAGCCCACTCTGGGTGAAGAAGCAGCCTCCTAGTGGGCAGGGACTGTGCCCTTTTCTAATCCGTCCCCTCCAAGGGCCCAGCGCTGCAGAGGCATGGCTAACATTTCCGGCCAGGTATCTGTCTGCCTGTCAGTCGGTGCTGACCCCTCAAGAGCTAAGTCAGGAGAGTCAGGAACCCTGACCCAGGTCATCCGACAGGAGTGATGGCAGAAGGAAGGGCTTCCTGGGAACCAACCCTGCATGGAGGCAGAGCAGTGGAGGCCTGTCAGGGCTGTGAGGCAGGCCAGGGACTAAGACTACAAGGGTAGGACCATCCCAGAAGGGTGGGAGCAGCTTCTATCAGATGCCCCGGGGCAGCTCCTTGCCCTTCCCCGGCTCCTTCTGCAGTGACGCTGGTTTCTGCTGCAGACACGGCCACTGACCTGTGGGCCGCTGCAGCTCTCTAAAGGGACTTGTTTCCACTTCTTATAGGGTGGCCTAGAGAAAAAGGTCCCGCATTGGGAACCACAAGTTCTGGCTTGTGTGCCATTTCTGCATGCCTACTTGGTGTCACTACCGTGCTAAGAGCAGACGGTGTAGGGCCACAACCCAGTGGGAGAGAACGACAAGTAGAGAGACTTTAAAATTTAGATGACAAGCTCAATGAAATCAAGGGTCATATCTGCTTTTGCTCACGGCCTGGCCTGGAACACAGCAAGTGCTCAAATAAATAGCAATAAATCTCAATGACCCTGAGCCCTGGATCTTCCCATGTTTATAAGGGAGATGGGGCCCTGCTGTCTCCAAGCATACAGCAGTGACTTCCAGCAACTGCGTTCATGAAGCTCCCAGGCCTTTCCAGAGGCTCGATGAGGTTTTCTGCCTCCTGTCTCTTGGTGGCCCCACCGCCTGCCTACCACTCTCCTGACTCCAGAAGGAGGTGTGAGTGTCCCTTCCCCCATTCCTGGGCAAGCCCACGGAGCCTGGCTGAGGAAGAGACTGGAGGTTGCCTAGCAGCCGCTGTGTTCTCTTAATTGGACCTGGACACTGTGTTACTCAGACACCCTCGGCCTGCCTCCAGGCTGTGAGGTGAGCATTCCCCGCCTTCTGTCTGCTTCCAGCCTGCCCCTCTACGTGCAAAGCACTGTGTGGCTGAGAGGAACACCTTCAGGACAATAGGATTATCCCAGTGAAAAATATGAAGACAGAAATGAGATCCTGTTCAACTGTTGATTCGGATTTATCAGAACAGAAGCCTCACCTGGCCCCACGATGCAGTCACCACAGCCTTTTCCAGCCTTCCCTGGGTTTTTCCTGGGACAGCCCCTTTCTGTTTCCCTTAGGGGCTTGGTCTTATTGCTGAAAGGATCTAACAGAGCTTTGTCTTTGAGGACAAAGACCTAGAGAGGAAGAGTGACTTGCCCGAGGTCACACAGCTGGCTAGTCAGAGGTCAGGAGCCAGGCCCCAGACTCATGCCCCACATCACTCGCCTGAGCCGGGCTTCTCTGTGCTGAGGCAGGAAACCACGGTGACCTGTATTCCGGAAATGCCCAGCAAACGCTCACTCTTACTAGTGACTCAGTTCCGCTTCACTTTCACTGCCCTCCCAGTGACCCCTCTCCCCGCTGGTTTCCAATCTGAAGGAAATGAGAGTCTGTTCTTGCTCACAGAGAACAGCTGGGAGTTCCTCATGCATACTCCAGCCCAGGCAGTGCAGAATGGCACCTAAGCCAGGTCCTCCTTATGCTAAGAAGATGCCATGCACAAGGCTGGGTGTTCAGACCCACTCAGCTGGGCTGCTGCTCAGAGAAGCTATGTAGGGTAGCTGCACCAGGGTCCACCTGGCAAGCTGCACACCTGGTGTAACTTTGAACTTTACATCTCTGGGTTTCTCGTCCATCCGTTGAGGGTTGGACTTGACCATGATTCTCAATGTTTAAAATGCCTCATTCCTGTCCCCACCCTGAGAGATTCAGCCTGCGGTGGGGCTGAGGAATTGTCTTTACAAAGCTGTCAGGCTGCACAGTCAGACTTGGGACCATGACCTCTGCTGCACCTTCCAGGACCCAGCCGCAAGTCTGACTGTATGGCCACAGGAGGCTGGGGGAGGCCCTCTGGCAGAACGCAGGGTGTGGTGTCCAGGCTGGCTGTGCTGCACCGCTGCCCATCCCACCTGTGCCCCCACCTCTCTGCGAGCGTGCCCTTACCCTTCCTCCGTCTCGTTAATGATGTCACAGATCTCCATGTTGAGGGCCCAGTCCTCGCTCTGCAGGGAGCCATCGGTAGCTTTCTCTGAGAAAATGAAAGCAGAAGTCACACAGGTGCGTGGAGGTCCCAGATGGACAAACTCAAACAGCGGGGCAGGTGTTGTGGGGTGCGAGGTGGGAAGAGATGGGAGAGGAGGGAAGACAATGGAAGATGAGCCAGGTACAACGCGGGGAGAACCACCATCGTTTGACAGGTGAGGAACCAGGGTTCAGAGTAGACCAAGTGGATAAGCAGGGATGGGGATCTGGTGGACTTGGTCTCAACGTGCTTGTTTCTGACACGACACTATAGAGACAGTGTTTTGTTTTATTTTTGTAAACAGAATGTTCCGTCTTTGCTTTATATTATCTTTGGATTGGTAACCATTCGTATGATTCAAAATGTAAAAAGTTCCAAATCAGTATATAATGGAAAGTAAATCCATCTTCTTCCCCTCTCCCTCAGACCCCACTTCTAGAGGCACCCACTGTAACCAGTTTCCTCTATAATCTCCCAGAGACATTCTTCACCCATGAAGCAAAGGATATGGTGCCATTTAACTCTGGACTCCATTACCAACAAGTGACCTGGACTTCCCCTTCCTCTTCTTGAGTTACAGCTTCCGTCTACAAACTGGGGTAATACGGGCCCACTTTGTAGAACTGCTGGTAATTCAAACAAGGCATCGAACACAGTACCTGACATAAAACAGGTGCTCAGTAAATGATGCTGATTCCTTTTTCTTTCCCCAATTGAGGTGAAATTCACATAAAATTAACCAATTCAAAGAGTCCAATTCAGTGGCATTTAGCACATTCACAATGTTGTGTAACCACCACATCTACCTATTTCCACCACATTTTCACGTGGTGGTGATTCTTAGGGTAAGATTCCCAGACCAGGAGTCAGCTACAAGATTTCAAGGTCTGTCAAGGCCAGGGCCAATGACCATTCACTGAAGATCTGCTCAGTGGCACGCTCTGGGCTGGTGGCCTTTTGTGTGCTATGTGGTGAGAGGCATCAATCAGTGCTGGGTGAATGAGGAATGCAGCAACAGACGATGCTAGGACATTCATAAAAATCCTTAAAAAAGTGAAGCACCACCTCTCCACTAAAACACACTACCGTTTTCATTTTCCTCTGCATCCTTCTGGATCCCATCCTCATGGAGACCCACGTTTAAGGTAAGTTGGATCACAATGTGCACAGAAGATTTTGTCTCCTACTTCTTTTCAGGCAACACTCCACCATGCTCCCTCACCACCCCCCTCACCGGCCCCCGCTGGTAAGGAAGGCACATGCCCATGTCCTTATGATATCTAGGGCTTCGTGATAAGACAGGACTTGTCCTCTGTTGAAGAGGAGCCAACCCCAGTGTCCAGAAGCAGTCTCTCCCCCTCTCCAAGGCACTGACCAAGCTCTCCAACCATCATGGCTGGCAGTGCTCTGGGTTCCCCTGGCTTCCAGGCCCTGGCTCTGTTGCGGAGCACTCACGCACCTTCCCAGCCTCTGCAGCCATCCTGCCTGCCTCAGCTGTGCCTGCTGACCGGTCCCTGGATATGTGGACACAGGGCTGCCAGCCATCTATCATTGACCAAGAGCCCTCAGTGGACCAGGAATGCAGCACTCGCTATTCCATGTCATCATCACAACCTTCCTGCAAGGGAGCTTCTCACCTCACCAATGCAAAGAAGGGATAGCTGAGGCTCAGAGAGGGTAGGTGACTTCTCACTTGTTGCACAGCTGTTTATATGCCAGACCTGTTCCAGGCACTGGGGATACAATGGTGGACAAGGTGGACATGGTACCTGCCCAATGGTGCTCAAAGGAGGCTGAGGCCACTCCGAACCCAGGTCTGTTGACCCCAAAGTTCCCACCCCTCCAGGGCAGAGGACAGAAGAGCTGTCTCCGTGTGCCTTGGCAGGGCCCTTTCCCAGCCAGATAGGCGGCCATCCTGCAAGGCAATGCCTGGGCTGGGCCAGCACGTCAGCTCCCTTAAACTGCGGCTTCTGTGACCTGTTTTGAAATGGGCCTGACCTCAGTTCTACCCTGGGTCCCACCTTGGGTCCTGCAGCCAGATGGATGCCAGGGTGCCCCAGGACACATGCCAGGCAGCTCAGGCAAGGGATGGACTGCTTTACTCCCTAGACTATGGCTGGGAAGGACCCAGGGAGAAAGGAGATAGGAAGCGCCTACTCAGAAAGGGTTCATGCCACAAACATTTGCTAAGCTCCCTCTCTGTGCTCCATTTCCCACCCCTGAGGACTCACATACAGACAGAGCCACATGTGAAGAACCAGAGAGAGCTTGCAAAGTGCTCTCTGAGCCCAGGTGGCCAGGCCCTACTTTGGGGGACTTTGGGGGCTGTGGCTAATCAGACAAGCAGGACCTGTTCCTCCTTCAGAGGCTCCCTTGCAGGGATCCCCAGCTACATGGGCCAGAAGGCTTAGAGTGATCCTGGATACCCAACCCCCATCTAACTGGTCACAAAGTCTTGTCAATTCTAGCTTCCGAGTCTCTCTCCATCTGTCTGCTCCCTTCTTGCCATCCCCTCTGCCATGGCCCTTGCCCAAGCCCCCATCTCCTCCCTCCCAGATCATAGCCTCAGCTTCCTCCCTGCCTCCTGCCTTGCTCCTCCCAATCTATTCTCTGTTCTGTCCCAGAATGAACTCTCTGAAATATGAAAATGACTGGGTCCCACCTGTATCCCAAGCCTTCAAAGGCTCCCTAGGGGTGACTCTAAACCCTCAGCCTGGCCTACACGCCCTTCTACAATAACAATATTTTAACTTCCAAGTGCCCACTATATACCACAGAACACCAAGTACCACTATCTGCTCATATACAGAATGAGATTTAATCCTTGCAAGTCTGAAAGGGGGACATTATTGCCGTCATTGAACTAATGAGGAAACTGAGGCTTAGGGAGATCAGTACCTTGAAAAGGCCGCATAGCTGGGGAGGGGAGGAACGGCCACTGTCGCCATAGCCCAGGTCCCTAATGCTGCCCCCCTGCCTCCATCCTTCATCAGTGGTCCAGAGCTCTGCTTCCTGGGAAGTGTTCTTCTAGACCACCGGGCAATCTGCCCTCTCCTCCCAGACCCCAGGGTCCCTAGCTCCACCAGCAGTTCTCCAATCGGATGCCCCTGTGACCCCTGAAAATGATGGGCTCTTCTCTTCTTCTGGGGGAGAACGTCAAGGTTTTAGAGGGCTTATGGTAGTTGGGAAGGGCAAGCAGGCGGTTAGCGGGACAGCTGGGATATTTACGGGTAAGAGAGAACTCCATACCAGGGACTCAGGGTGCGTGCAGAAGGACCCCTGGAGCCCAAGTCTGACGCAGACCTGAGCAGGGCTGGCAAGTTCTTTAGCTTCCAGTGCAGTTGGCAGAGCCATTAAGAGGACAGAAGGGTTTTTTAAAAAAAATTTTGGGAAGGGGGAGAGAAGCAGCCTAAACAGGAATAGGGAGAGGAAGAAGAGGAAGAGGCAGGAGAGACACAAGGCCTATCTGAGCAATTCAAGTAGAAGAAAGGTGTGGGGAAACTTTCGAGGCCGTCTGCCCAGGCCAGGATTGGCCCCACACCCTCTGACCATCCCCTGCAACCTCCTTCAGGTCTGGCATAAATGGCAGGAAGGGGAGAGTTCTAGGACTTCCTTAAGAAAGATTTCCATGGAGTAGGCGTGCTCCGTTAAAGGAAGAAATTTAAACCCACAGGGATCTGGGGATATTTGTTTTGTTTTTATTTTTAACCACAAAAAGTAACTCAGCTGGCTATTTTAAGAAGCTGAGTGTATTTAAGAAATAAAAATGCTGACAACAGTTACCAGTTACCAAGGGACTGATAACCACCTTCCCACTTCTGAGCAGTTGTCGGGAAACTTCCAAAGGATCCTGGGGAGCAGCTTGCTCTGGTTCCCCAGCTCAACTGATCAGGCCCTGCAAACCTCTGCTGTCAGTGGGCTGTGGAAGTGCTGTCTGGGGCCAACAGGCCTGTGGTTTTAGATCATTGGGCATCTGCCTGTTTAGTTGTTTGTCCTCTCCATGTTGGGCCTGGGGCAGATACCGCCTCCCCAGAAGGCTCAGACAGTCTGCCTGGCATGATGGCAAGACCCACCTGTCCCTCAGAGAATCAGGGTTGGGCTGTGAAGTTGAATGGGCCTGGCCTCACCTCTAACTCAGGCAGCTCGGGCAAGGATCCACTCCTCCAAGTCTTGGCTTTCTCATCTGCAAAACTGAGCTAAGACTGCCTGCCTCACAGGGTGCTGTTACTTTTCAGAGACAGGTAGAAGGTAGACGCTGAGTAACTGTCAGGAACCATGACTGTAACTTGGACCAAGAGAAGGAAAGAGTGGCCCCCAAAGACACACCAGGCCTACCCACGCTCCAGGCAGCTGGGCCCTTGGTCCTGGTCCACTCATCCCCAGGTGTGACCCAGAATCCCTGGCATGACAGCCTGTCCTCTCGCCACAGGGGAAGCTCTGCTCCCTAGCTGTCCCATTCCCAAACTCCATTTTCCGGCTGATTTGGAAGAGGCCACTTCTGAGGATGCTCAGTGGAACCATGGTCGGCATCACGGCTGCGAGCGACACTGACCACCTACGTCCCCAGTCAGCCTTCTAGGAAGCAGTCTAGAGTCTTCTCCCCATACATTCAAACAGTCGCCAAGTCCTGTGGATTCCAGCTGCTGAACATATCTCAAAGTTGCCCCCGACTCTGTCATCACTGAGACGGCCCTGGTTCGGGCCCTGTCACCTCCCCCAGGCCAGGACCATCACTTCCACCCTTGGCTGCTTCTCTTCAAACATAAATCTAGTCAATATTCTTCTCTACCTAAAAATTGTCGACTCCCTGTTGTTTGAGGGTTAAAAACCTGAATGCTTGGGTGCAGAGAAGGACATTTGTGACTGACCTCAGCCACAATCAGCTCTGCCCCCACTGTCCCCACCCCGGGCCTTTACATGTCTTGTTCTCTGAGGCCTGTGGCTTCTGCCTGGAATGCCTTTCTTCCATTCAATCAGACATCCATTCTACAAATAACGACAAGAAA